CCCCCCCCCCCCCCCCCCCCCCCGATTTTTTCTCTTCTCTTGGTCTAGTCCTATTGCCTTCTCGCCTGCGGACTCGCATGTCCCGTAACTCATCTCTTGAGCCCCAGGCCTTTGTTATGCGAGCGTCCACTGGGAATAGATTACTATTCATACAACAGATTCACTAAGACACGTCCACACATTCCTTTCCACCAGGGCGCACCAGCTTAAAAACAAAGGGCTCTTTGTTTTCTGCAATAGCTTAGTCAGTAAATTTGAAAGGCAAAAACCATGTTTGTGATAGTATAATATTCATCCCTGGGTATTGTTATTCATGATATTATAATAAGGTATGGGGAATCAATCTGACCTGGAACAAGCCCAAGACAGACTGAATTGGAACCAGACTTACTCGCTGGGGAGGGTGGGTGGGTCGCCAATCGCCCTTCGTGTCGGACAATGTGAAGTGAATGGGACAAAGCGTACCAGTGTTTCCTATTATATATACTCATTTGCATATCACTAATTAATCCCCAGGAATGACATTTACAATTCAGATGGAACGTGAATAGCTGTCGCAGTCAAATGATATAAAAATTTAAATAAAAACATGGCTACCTTCAAGGCTGTGGTTTTTCAAAGGCTCGCGTGTGTGTGGCTTTGTGTTTCCACTGCTGCCTCTGTACAGAACTGTATAGTCTACTTAACTGTAAAGTACTGCCGGTTGTTCCTTTAGAACATACTTTTAAAAAACATTTACCTCAGGCTGAGAGTCAAGTAAGAACATTTTTAGACTAATTTTGGCGATTTTTATCCAGGGAATGCAAACGCACGCGAGAAAGTCGCTTTCCTCCCCCAAATACCCTTGTCTACAATGCCAGAAGTTATATGCTTCTGACAGTACTTACAGTTAAGTTTGCGAACCTTTCTCCTTTTGTCTTGTTAACATTTTGATTCAAAGCATTATTTGATCTCCAAAAACTATTTTCAGCTATATAACTAAAATTATTAACTGTTGTGTTGTGGACGTTGTCTTGGCCTTTTACTTAAAAACGTCAAAATATTTTTAGACACAAGCAAGTTATAAGGTCTTGTAATGTGGTAGAGACAATTTTTCTTTGAACATGAGAACTGGTTTTTTTCCAGTTTAGAGATTCTTCAGGAGCCAGAAGCACGTAAGGATTAGCTGAAATGGAGAGGTTTTAAGTATCTGGAAACTTTTTAACGCTTAATATTTATCTGCTGATTTGTTGAGACGGTTGAAGGTAAACAATTACTTCAGCCTTTCCACAGTAACGTCAAACTCAGTTACTAAGTAATCAAGACACTTTCCCCATTTCTACACATCTACAGTATAAGGAGCTTATCAAGACATGTTTCCACATTTCCCCACCTCCATAGTTTATTGAAAACCAAACGGTATTCGTACATTAGATTCACTAGACACTTCTACACATTCCTTTGCGCTAGGGCGCACCAGCTTGAAAACAAAGGGCTCTTTGTTTTCTGCAATAGCTTAGTCGGTAAATTTGAAAGACAAAAGCAATGTTTCTAATACTAGCTGTCGCAATCAAATGATATTAAAACTTAAAAATCAAAACATGGCTGCTTTCAAGGCTGTGGCTTTTCAAAGTTTCGCGTGTGTGTGGTTTTGTGTATCAACTGCTGCCTCTGTACAGAACTGTAGTCTAGTTAACTGTAAAGTACTGCCGGTTGGAGAAAATATCGCATCAGAATTCAGGCCACAGGCTTTTGAGGAAGGTGTGAGATTAATCTACTTGAATCTAAAGATCGGTAACAACAGCTACAATCCGCTTGAGTTGCAAGACGTGTTTCAACCCGACAGATGGGTGTGGGCTCGGTCAAATAAAGAACCCATGCTTTCTTTGCCGTACGACTACGACATTTTATCACTAGGCCTGCTCAATTACCAAGTGCGAAGCATGACAGCGCCTCTGAGAGATGAACCGAGTGGATGCCTTGCGGGTTTAAACTCAACATGTCAGAACATGGCCGTCGGAAGAGCACTGATGGACAATGTAACAAGTGAAGGCGGCAACACTGGGGTGGTCTGTGTTGCAATGATAGGCGAAATGTATGTGAGTATTATGACAACTGGTCTATAAAGTATCATTGTTGCAGGCTCAATGCGTCAAGCATTAACTGTGATCTTCCTGTCGAGGGTAGCAACTGGTACCAAGCGATAGGAAACTTTTTGCTTTGCTTAGCAGTGGTCCTAACGTTATATTTCCCTGCACTTCCTCTGCTTTTGCCAGACTATATTTTCAATCTTCAGTATGAATGTGTCAAGGAAGGTAACACTGATGAGCTAACTATTCATGCAAGAAGAAATGAATACGAGGAAATTCTTGATATTGATGATGTGAAAGAAGACAGACTGAAGTCATCTCAGGTCTTAGATGAAATTCCTGTAGATGACGCCAGTCCGGTAACCTGTTCAATGGCTTTCCTGGGATGTGTTCAGGGGCTGCCCGATGTAAAGATGTCGTTTAACCTTAAGTTAGCGGTTTTGCTGTTTTGTATTTTTCCATTTGGCCTCTATGTAAATGTCGGTTTATTCTTTGTCCTCAAGGAGAAATACTTCGATGAACTCTTAAGGAAGGCTCCACCGGGAACTGCATTTGAACCTGAGGGTTTTTTCACTATCTTCATATTGCCTCCTAATGGAGGAAGGCTGGAGGAAGATCAAACTGGAAAAGAAAATTGAGGCGGTAGTGACAGAGTACGTTCAAGAAACTAGCTCTGGTTGTGTAAAAAGAGAAAGCGAAGAGGGAAGTTCGCTTCAATAATGTAGTTTCATAAAATCACAGGCAGCTAAATGTGACAGTTATGAAAAAAGAAAGCCATTCAGTTGCGCAAGTCGGATAAAGCAATTCCTCATGATAAAATTACTTTGGGGTTACATTTATAGTTTCTTTAAAGCTGAGATTCTTGTTAAAGAATTATAATGAAGGGATGCGTATTAATGAAAGTAAGCTTGGTTTAAAAACTGAACATCAAAACCGTGAGTAGAAAACAAAGAATTCAGTGGCCGGATCTCTAAAACAGATCTGGATCAATAAAAATTAGGAAGTGGCGGTGAAAATGATGATACAGTTATATAGGATATAGATATTTTGATGTTTGGTCTCACTTTGTTTTGATCTTTAAATCTTGGCCTTGGATTAGTTTCCAACGAAAGCTTGGTCTACCTGCGATTTTCATAAAATTCCTGTTGCGATATGCTATCGGTAGAAGCCCTTATCGGTAAAGAAGAAAGTAACTGATCATATAATATCAAAACTGGCTAGCCAAGCACCAAGGTGCTAGAGATGCATAAGAGAGTATTTAAAAAGTCTCGTCTCAATATCAGTGCTGTAATTTTTAATTTTTGTTACGTAATTTTCTGTAATTGTTTTTTAAACGTTTAGGAATTATGCCTATTAACAGTGTTAGCTGTTTTAGCTAAAAGAAGATATAATAACTTCCTTAACTCAGTTTTGTTTTAAAATTTTCAGATTGATTGTTTAATTAAATATCAATAGTTATTAAGTCAGCTTTGTTACGTGTATAAAATACTATTCAGTTCTAAACTGATCTGTAATGAGAGGACATAAAAATTGTTGTTGGAGTAGCTAAAAGACATTAACTGTGAAGACGTGCGTCCAATAGAGAAGAATAGAAGGCAGATTTCCCCAAATAAACTCACTTTGGAAAAAAGCGATAGGCTACTAGTATGACCAAGTATGGGAGGACCCTCGATGTATTACTATTTACAAGCCTTAGAGAAATCGAAAAGGATTTACGTCCCCTGGATTTAAGATTCTACAACCCCAGGACGTAGGGATTTTTTTTTTTTGCTTTTCTTCCGTCGAGCGTGTCTGACACTCCTCGCCAGTTCGCACCCACCTTGCACTTGCCCTCGCCCGCCTGAAAAACACCTAGAATTACACCTGTTCTGCAGGCTATGCACTGTAGCTTTTATTGTCTACAATTTAAAAGTTTATTCACGATTTTTCTTGAACTTGTTTGAACAGTTATTTGTTTGTTTCTTTATTTAGTTTCTGGGTTTTTCTTTTGTTTTCAAATTGTCACCGTTCAAAACGTCTAGTCGTTAGTACTAGCATGAAAATTGTATCCAACAACAGACGAGTAAGCAATAGTATAAGCTGCATGTTGTATATATGCGTTATTGAAAAAAAGGCTAAGAGAACCGGGGGATTCGAAAGGGCCGCGAGGCTAGGTGGTCTAAGCATAAGCATCCAGGGCTTGTTGAACAATACTTCAACGGCGTAAATCCTAAGGTTACACAGTCCAAGGTGTTGAATACAGTGTCGAGAATTGATTCCATGAAATCTGTTAAATCCAGGAGATGTAGTTACATTACTAATTGGTCGGCCGTAAAACACGCAGCTTTTAGAATTCTAACTTGCGGGGTTAATTCCAGTGGAACTAAAACCAGGGGTTGTAAAATTCTTATATCCTGGGGTCTTACATCCAGGGTAAAAAATAGTCTTACAACCAGGGATCTTAGGTCCAGGGGCTGTAAAATTCTTATATCCTGGGGTCCTAGATCCAGGGGTACAAAATAGTCTTACAACCAGGGGTCTTAGATCCAGGAGCTGTAAAATTCTTATATCCTGGGGTCTTGCATCCAGGGTTTGAAACACCCAGGGGTTGTAAAGTCTTACATCCAGGCCGGGTTGTATTCCTTACATGAACGGTTGTTACATCCAGAGGTTGTAAATCCTTGCATCTAGTGGTTGTAAAATCCTTACACCAGGGGTGTTAAAAGTGGCTATTTAAGAGAGGTGATTTATATAAGGGGGTTATTCTTATATCCTAGGCTCATTTTTATGTACGGGGGTTTGTCCAGCTGTCTGTTGATAATGATCCAAAGCTCTCACAGCAAGAGGTCTTCCGATCAGGAGTCTTACATCCAGGGGTGTTACGACCAGGAGTCTTACACCCAGGACGTAGATCCAGGGATCTTACGTCCAGGGGCCTGAGGACCAGGGGTCTTACATCCAGGGGTCTTTCGACTAAGGGTCTTACGTCCAGGGGTCCTAAGACCAGGGTTCGCACATCAAGGAGTCGTACGACCAGGGGTTTTACATCCAAGGGTCGTACGACCACAGGTGTTACGTACAGGGGACTTACGACCTGGGGTCTTGCAGGGGTGTTATGACCAGAGGCCTTAACTCTAAGAGTCTACCGACCAGGGGTCTTACGACCAGGGGAGTAACGACCAGGGATCTTACATCAAGGGGTCATACTACCGGGGTCTTACATCCACAATCTTACGACCAGGGGGCTTACATCCATGGTTCCTGCGAACAGGGGTCTTACATCCAGGGGAGTAACGACCAGGAGTCTTACATCCAGGGCACTTACGTCCACGGATCTTAGGACCAGGGGTCTTACATCCATGGTTCCTGCGAACAAGGGCCTTACGACCGGTTATCTTACATACAGGGGTCTTACGACCAGGGTCCTTCATCCAAGGGTCCTAAATCCAGGGGTCCTACGTCCAAGTGTCGTACGACCAGGGGTCTTACATACAGGAGGTTTACAGTTGGTGGAATATCATCCTCTAGGTTAGATTTTCTCAGATCCCCTCTCTTCTCATTTCCGGTTACAGTAGTAGGCCCCAGCGTGAGCGAAGGTCGATCGAGCTTCCGCTTTCTCGTTCGTTTCTTGCCGCAGCAAACATGGAAAATCATCCCATTCGCGCCCGAGAAGAATTTTGAGCTTGACTCGTGGGAAAATCTACCTCTGGGTGAGTGTAGTACTGAATAGGACGTTCGTTGACAGTGACTGACATTTCGTCAATCTTTGCGGTAGTTACCAAAGTGAGTTGTATCACGTCAGGTGATCATGATATTAAACTCTGGCAGGAGCATTTGATGGGTTCCTGACTGGTTAATGACCTGATTGGTCAAAAAAACTATTTTGCCTATATTGCCTCAGATACGTCTAACTCTTTTTATTTGTATAGAAAGAAATTACTCAGGTCATTTTATTTTTCACAAATTTTTCGTAATGGTTAATCAACAACCAAGTCAGGTAAACATTCACGTGTGTCAGGAATCAATCACCACGAAGCGTTCGTCTGACTGCTATATTTCTGGGTTACAGTGTATTAGACATTTAGGCTATTTATAGATTCATCTTTTCACGTCGGAAAGCTCTTAGCCAATCAGAACAGAGCAGGACTCAAGAAGGTGCATGAACAACAATGGCTGATGACAATGCAAGGTCTCATGCAGAGTTAGTTTAACCCATTCGTCGGATAAACGGTTAACATCCTCCTTGTGATATAAAGTTGAACCTCCAGTAAGCGACTACACGCGAAATGCGAAGATCAGTGGTCACTTGAGGTGGTAGCTCACGAGAATTGAAATACAGGGGATTCTCTTTCGAGAGGGGTGCTAAAGTCGATGATATTGACGATGTTGATAAAATGATAGTTGTCGAGGTACCCTTGACGGGTTTCAAGCTACTATTTAGTGATGTAAACCCCTCGATAGCACCACTTAGGGGTGGAAATCAATTTAAGAAAAGATTTGCATAACAAACATTTACCTTTGCTTTGCTTATTTGCACAGAGGTTACCAACAAGTCAAAAGACTAATGTAATTTTACCAGCAACAAAAAAGAGATATGCCTCCAGACATCAACGTGTGGCAGTGAACGGAGACCAGTTGTTTAAAAACAAGATAACGTTATCCACCGAATAAATCTCTACCAGCTGCTAACACAGACGTATTTCGTAGAGGCGCAACAACCGGAAATGTGTCTGCGTTCAGACAACCTTTAGCAGTGAACGGAGACTAGTTGATCAAAAGGTAGGTAACTTTATCCGCCGGATAAATCTCTATCCACTGCTAACACAGACGTCAGATTTCATAAAGACGCAACAACCGGAAATACAACTGTGATCGTTGGCTAGCTCACCCGCCCTTCCTATCTACTCTGTCTTCCCTTACAACGTAATCATATTGAACTAATGGCGGGGTCTCCGGTGGGAATAAGTTACAATCCTTCTTTAAGAAAACCTAATTTCTTGGAGTTTTGCTTTAGCTGAGAAGAGATCAATGTCCAAAGTACTAATTCGCTGTGACCGTGCGAATACACATGGAATACAGCCAAACCAGCTGCAGGGGAGTGGTGTCAGGCAGCTGTATTCGCAGGCTTACTTAGCCAGAGACATCACAATTGTCCACAAAACCCTTTTACTGAGTTTCTTCAAACCGCCCTATTGCGTAAAAAGAGTTCCCCACAGATAAACAATGTAGGCCACAAGCCATACTGATAGGAAAGTAAACCAAAGCAACGCATGTTGACCTCTGGTGTGCCCCACTTAAAGATATCAAATTCTTAAAATATCAGTCTTGGCGGGAGCAGAAATTTGAAGAGACCTCACGATCAAGCAAATATGTCCGCTTGCAACAGTTGCAAGCCACTGGTTCTTCTACTGAGTGTCGCATGTGTGTGCTATTTGGCATCTCCTGCTGCCTCTGAACAGAACTGCAGCGTAGCAAACTGTGAAGTACTGACAGTTGGAGAGAATCTTGAATCGGAATTTAGGCTGAAGGCCTACGAGAAGGGTGTGAGAATAATCTACTTAAATCTGAAAATCGGCAACAGCAGCTACAATCCGCTGGACTTACCAGACGAGATTCTTCCCGACAGATGGGTGTGGGCTCTGTCAAATAATGAGCCTATGCTGTCTTTGCCGTTCGATTTCGATATTTTATCCCTAGGACTTTTGAATTACCAAGTGCGAAGCATGACAGTGCCACTGAGAGATGAACCGAGTGGATGCCTTGCAAGGTTAAACTCAACATGTCAGAACATGGCCGTCGGAAGGGCACTACTGAACAATGTAACGAGGGACAATTCGATTGAATTATCGAGTAAGACTGGGGTGGTCTGTGTTTTAATGATGATGAAGAACCTGAATGAACTCTGGTCTATAAGCTATCATTGTTGCAGTTCTGATGACTCAAGTATTAATTGTGACCTTCCTGTTGCAGGCAGTAACTGGTTCAATACGATATCTTCCCTTCTACATGTTTTATCCGTCATTGCACTGTTATTTTCCCCAGGCTGTCTTCTGCTGTTGCCAGACGTTATTTTTAATCTTCAGTATGAACGCGACATGGAAGACATGCACAGTAACACTGTTAATGATGTTAATGAGCTAGCTGCAGTTAACAGTGAACAAGCCGAATCAATTGCTGTTCAAATAAGAAATGGATATGAGCAAATTCCTGAAACTGCTGAAATCCATACGTGGGATCGGGACAGGGCAGACCATGGCGCGGATATTACTGTAAACACGAGCCTGGTTACCTGCTCAACAGTTTCGCAGCAGTTGCAAGATAACACTGAAAATGAGCTAGATACAGACGACAATGAACAATCCGAATCCGTTAATATTGAAGACAGAATTCCCGTGGATGACGCGAGTCCGGTCACCTTTTCAAAAGTTCTGCTTGGCTATTTTCAGCAGCTGCCCAATTTACAAATGCCATTCAACGTCAAGTTAGGTTTTTTGCTGTTTTGGTTTCCATTTGCCTCTTATATTCATCTTGGACTATACCTTGTTCTAAGGAAGAAATATACCCACGAACGCGTGTTAAAGCAGGCGCCGGGAACTTTGAGTCCAGCACCAGAGTTTGTCGAAATCAAACCAGAAATTTTTTCGCTCTCTTCAATCTTAGTGTCAGCTTCATTTATGCTACCGTTTTTTGCGATGGTTTTGTTTTTAAAACCGAGGGATTTTTTTGTAAAGCAGGAAATGAAATGTTTCTTGTGTGACTTTTGTCGGACCCCCTTACGAAAAAGAACCAAAAATATTTTAGTAAAAATACCTTTTTGTACACAAAGTTTAAATTCTGTTAGTTTGGGGGATAAAATGCTTCGTCATATGAAATGCTTCCCGAGGATAGCATACGCGTTGATATTGAATTTTCTTCGATTACATAACTGCGGGCTAAAAGGATTCGTAAGTCTTTCTACGTGCTTTTTAAAGATAAATATTAGAACAAAAAAAAGACGCCCGCTTTTGGTCCTCTGGCTTTTATTTTCTAGCTTATTCACGCTTTTTCTTGGCATTGTATGGGTAGCACTCTGTTTTACTTTGAGTTTAGTTTTTATTACTTTGTTTTTTTTGTCTTTGTCACCTGTTATGACTCTCTCTTATGGCATCGCGTTGAAAATTTGGACACTGATCGGACCACGTATTACGAACCTCGCTTTGCGTAAATTCTTAACGACAGGCGTCGTTTTTTTGTTTGATTTAATGTTAGGACTTAATTTATTTGTTGGTGTATCATTATTATGCACTCTTATTCTTGGAATATTTGGATTTACACTAATGGGATTAGTTTTAAACGTTGACATTGTAACTCCCTATGTATCCTTTTTCTTGGCTTTCGTAACAAACGTCTATTTTTGCTACGCTAATTTTCAGAGGAGCTACATAGAACTTAAAGGATTGATTTTTAAATCTTGGCAGCAAGAAACAATGTCAACCAAAGGCAGCGATCAAAGCACAATTCCAACAATGCTGTTTTGGTATGTAAGTGATAGAGTGCTTCCGGCTGGAACTGAAATCTGCCTGATGTTTCGCAATATGGCTTTTATTGTGACCTTTCTATTTTTGACCATATCTTCGATAGTTTTCTTCAGAAATGCGTATGACATCTCGACGCTAGTGTCGACCATTGCCGTGTTTATAAGTGGGGCAATTCCCAGCTTGTTTTTTAAGGGGTTCACTAGAGGTAGGAATTTTACTGGGTGGAGGAAGATCGAACTGAAAAGGGAAATTAAAAAGGCAGTGAGAGCATACGTCACTGAGAATGAGAGATGTCGTGTCAGTCGTGTAACATGAACAGTGACATTGTAGAGGTAACAGGGGCACGAAATGATGATAAATGGCGTAAAATGACGACAAGAGAATCCTGAAATCTTTACTGGCGAATCACATTCTTGCATATTGCATTACTGTTGTTTATTTACTTAAATAGGACAATTTTAAAACTTTATATACTTCAGCAACTTTTGAGATTATCTGTCATCTTTAATGCCAATTTATTGTCATATTACTACTAAGATGTTTAGTGGACTTCAGTGTAAAGTCTTTTAAATTCAGTTTTAATAGTCGTGATCAATTAACTAAAAGCTACTAAAGGCGACTCTACATCACTTTAGATATAAGCTATTGTCAATATGGATCACCAAGTGAAAACGTTTATTGTCTTAGTCCTTGCATCTTTAAGAAATTACTTGCTTGAATCATTTCTTCTTATTATGCTATGATCTCTGTAATAAAAATGGAAATAACCTGCTGTTGTTGTTTTTTATTGTTGTTGTCGTAAGGAGGTGCTTTTCAAGACAGCACTAGATAGCTCACATTAAAAAAGAGCACTAGCCTGCTAAAGGATCTTCTCTCAGATGTTTACCTTTCACTGCGCGTCCCCAACACAGCCTTGTTAGTGCTATTGCTTGCTTGGAAACTCTCAAACCCCAGAATACCCATCCCCTTGCCGAGGTGCATTACCAGGAGGCTTTTGTAAGACCCGTGGTCGTAAGACGCCTTGTTGTAAGACCCCTGGTGGTAAGACCTCAGGGCCCAGTTGTTCGAACGCCAGTTAGCGCTAACCCGGGGTTAAATTTTAATCCGGGTTTCTTTTTCTTTTTATCAAAAGCACTCTATCGAATAATGTTCTCTATTCTTTTTAGAGTATCCAATCATGAAATTGTAAGAAATTTAGCTGAATTTGATTTTTAAGCTCTAATATCTGAGTTCAAATTTCGCACTAACCCTTGGTCATCTTAACCCAGCTTCGAACAACCCGGCCCTGGTTGTAAAATCACTGGTTATAAGAACCCTGGTTGTAAGACACCTGGTCATAAAACATCTGGATGAAACAGGGGTCTTACAACCAGTGGTCTTACACCCAGGGGTCTTACGACCAGCAGACATACATCCATGGTCTTACATCCATGCCTTTCACAACCAGGAGTCTTACAACAAGGGGTGTTGCATCTAGGGGTTCAGCATCCAGGCCTTTTACACCAGTGTTCCTACAGCCCAGGCCCGCGTTCCTAGAAAGCCGATTAGTGCTAATCGAGGATTAAATATCGCTAATCGCCGAATAAATTTTATCCCACTATTAGATTCTGTTCCTGAAAGCACGATTAATCTTAATCTAGGAATAAACTAAATGTTAAATTTAACCCACCTAGCGAGGACGATTAACTCGCTAATCGGGGGAAAAATTTTGTCAAAACAAACAAACTGGCGGACTTACTGTTCCCTATAATTGACCCGCAAATACGCGAAAGAAAGTTCCAACAGCGAGAAATTGACCTCGACGAACTAACTGACGAAGAACTCCGCAGTAGATACAGGTTTGGACGGGAGTCAATAAAATTTCTCGAAGAAGTCCTGAAAGACGAACTACAAAGGCAGACGCGAAGAAATCATGCGCTGTCGCCAACGCTACAAGTTCTTGTAGCGTTGCGTTTTTTTGCCAGCGGCAGTTTCCTACAAATAATTGGTGACACCGTTGGCCTTCCTAAATCCACTGTTTCAAGAATTGTGACCGACGTGTCAAAGGCTCTTGTGAACAAGCAGGAGGAGTTCATCAACTTCCCCACTGATCCTGCTGAAGTTCAAGAAGTCAAAAGAGGATTTTACGAGAAGGGAGGATTCCCTGGTGTTGTAGGTTGTATCGACGGGACCCATGTGAGGATCCAAGCGCCCAACAAAAATGAGAATGACTATGTCAACCGAAAGGGCTTCCATTCCATCAATGTCCAAGCAGTATGCAACCATAAAGGTAAAAAAGGAGTATATCATTTTCACTAAGCATCCAATATAAAAATGATAAAGAACAAAGCAGAAATAATACATGTTATCTGAGGGGGTGGTAGAAGTTCATGTGCTCCAAAGAATATTTGTTGAAAGTTCTATTTATATTTAAAAGATTTTAACTCTTTTGGTGAAAAAATATTAATAATTAACAAAGTAATCAACCCTGTAGTATATTTTTATGGTAGGGACCCCATAAGAGAGTTGACAATTGACATGCTTGTCATCTCACTCAGATCTTTGAATTCAATTATCTTTGGGCAGAACGTAGATAAACATAGGTAAAAAAAATAAAGGGGGCTAAGGGACCGGTCATTATTTATTGCCTGGGGACACGGAGGATTTGGGACTAAACAAGGTGAAATTTAGCTGATCCCCCGTTTGAATGTTACTTTACTGAAGTAATCCCCCCTAACAACTTCAGATGACTTTCGCAATCCCCCCATGTCTTCATTTTCCAAGCAAATTTGAGTGGTCCCTCTCTGAATCCTTCCAAAGTTTTCAGTGATCCGCCCTTTTGGGTTCTCAGTTACGACTGATCCCCCCTTTTGTTCTCCTCAAAATTAAGTGATCCCCCAACTAAAATCCTCCCCCTCCCCCCCCAGCGATAAATAATGACTGGTCCCTTAAGTCTAAATATTATATACTACAGTGCTTGAGGCCCACAAAAAGTCAGATATCTTCGTCCTCTTCAAACAAAAAGATTGGAAGGAGGGGGGCTCAAATCCAAAAAACCTATCAGAAATCTATGAGATTTAACCATGGAATTTCTGGAAGGATGGAGTCTCTAACAATCAATAAAAACTCTCAATACGGGAGGTATGGATACTTTATGGAATTACACAATAAAGTACAAAAGTTATTGTTGAAATTTCTTTAGGCATGTTTACGAACATCGTTGCACGATGGCCTGGTAGCACACATGACAGCTTCGTATTTAGCAGTTCATTGATTGGTCAGAGGTTTGAGTCTCAGCCCCGCACATTGGAAGATGGCTTGCTTCTTGGAGATAGTGGGTATCCTTGTAAACCATATCTCATGACCCCATATCTCAACCCTACATCTGTAAATGAGGAAGCATTCAACCAGGCCCATAAAGCTACAAGGGTGGCCATTGAACAAACCTTTGGATGGTGGAAGCGACGGTTTCATTTGCTTCACTCAGAAGTAAGAATGAAGCCTGAGAAGGTCTGCCTTATTATTGGAGCTTGCGCCATATTGCACAACATCGCAATACTGAGGAGTGAACCACAGGATTGCCACCTCCTGCATGAAGACGACCAGCCAGCAATGGCCCCCTTTCATGGCCCAGAGAATGGAAAGGCTGTGAGAGATCACATTTGCCACACCTTTTTTTAAAATTCCCTTTTCTCCACTAGACGTGTATCTTACGGTGTCAGCATCTAAATTCTTTAAATAACCTAAACATTGTCAATATTGCAATCTTCTAAAATGATGTCAGACTCTCTGTATGGGTAATAGCTGCAGAAGTCTATTTTGTCACACATTTTCCTTCAAATCATCTGATTTTCAGGTAAAATTGTTGCATATCAAGAATCATTTTGTTTTCCAGTGCTACTAGTGAGTTTGCCATCATTCAACTTCTAACATTGTCAAACTTGGTTGAAACATTCAAGCCATTGTCGCTTTAATTGCTAAGATTGTTGCTTCATCAAAAGTGGTCTTTGTGACTTATCGATTTTGTCTAAAATACCCAATACAGAGGCTCATAAGTCAAGAAGAGTATAAACTTTGTTGCATGTCTTTTATTCCAAAAATGCTGTCCTCTTTGAAGAACTTAATTGTTCAGCTATTGGTACTGTTTATGTCCTAACATAGTCACAACATCTCTCGCCAAAATGTTCAAAATTTTTATGTCACTGACTAAGGCTTAACAGCTAATGTAAATACACTAACGGAAGTATTATGACCAAGTATCTCTGAGATAATTTGGAAATCCTTAACAATTGGTATCATACTTCCAGTAGTTTGACATTCAAAATATTGCTCCGAGAAAACATTGTCAGAATGATCGCATATGGTAAAAATGGGAGGTAACAGAAACCACTGTTAATACACTTGGAACTACAAGACATTTTCTGGATAAAAGGAAACCAGTACAAAGGAATAATTCCTACAATTCTGCCTGTTGTAAAGATTCCAAATAGTAATGACTTATCAGATCATTATAGGTTTCTGCGAAACTGTCCACCTACCCCTTCCCTAAGCCAACATTAACACTTACATTTTGTAATACCAATATGGATCCTTCCACTCAGTTTTACATGGATAATAAAAATGAAAGGAGAATGCAAGAAACAAAAGACTCAATTCCACCTGTAATTTTTCTTGGAGGAAATGTAATTAGTACTGTGTGACCCCCACCCTATCTCACTCAGGTGATATATATCTAGTAGCAATAAGAAAAATTCTATATACAGCTACTATGCCTGTCAAGCTGCTTTAAAGTATTTTGTGATACAATTTATTATTTTGTGTTGCTCAAATAGCACCATTTGGATTTGTGGAGAATAAGCTATTCAGTTGAAAGTTCACTCAAAGGTTCTTTCAAAAGAGGCAAGAAGATGACATGTAATGTGAAATGGAAAAAAACCTTTCAATGATATAAGTGCTACCCATAATGGAAAATATATGCCAATTATGGATTGGGCAAAGTTGTTTTTAATTTTATCATTAAATGTAATTGATAATAATAAAACTTAATTTAATGCAATATAAAATAATGGATTTGAATCAAAATGAAATATATTACTATGTAACTGGTCACAGAGACATTATTTCCATAACTGGGATAAACAAGATTTTGTGTATGAAAAAATATGCTTGAAATTTATGTAGAATCTGAAACATTTTACAAAACATTGTAAGCTAATGTAAAATCCCAATATCAATATAAAGTGTTCATAAAAAATATCCTGCATTCAATTTGGGATGTTTTCCTTATCTTCATCATCCAGTTTTTTGCTGATAAGAAGAATTTCCATTCGAAGCTTTGTTTTCTTTAGCTCTAGCATTTCTTGTTGCAGCTTTAATGCCTTTTGCTGCTCTTCCAGAATATCAGCTTGTGAAATTCGTCTCTTTCTATTTGGTGGCAACGGTGAATGATCTTCCTTAACCTGTGCTATCAGACCAAGTTTCATCATATCTTCACTCGATAGCGTTGGTAAATCTTGTTGGTCTTCCACAATATCTGCTTCAGCTGGTTCTACTATATTCAATTCAAGAAAATGTTGTGCATTCAGCACCAGAAATTTGAACTATAGGTGAAATGTTGAAAAAGATAGGATATTTACGTAAGCTTGTATTGATGTCTTTTATAAGCACTCAGTGGCCTTTTTTCAAGTCCTTCTATTACTGCGATTGAGATTTCCTTCGCTGTTGACCCGTTCCTTACCCTGCGAGCAGAGGCCCTTCGATCTTCCTAGATAAGTCGTCCCTTCCTCTTCCCGACTTATCTAGGAAGATCGAAGGGCCTCTGCTCGCAGGGTACCCGTTCCTATGTTGTTACATCGAAATAAAACTTGCCTTCGAAACATTAATGCAAGCTTGACTATAAAAAAAAAAAAGTAAGCTTTTCACTGAAAAGCAAAGGAGAACAAATTCTTATTCTCGAATTACGAGTTCATCAGAGCCTACATTCGAACGTTTCTCGGTGTAAGAGAGAATTCAAAGAAGACAACAGAACCAAGAAAAACAAAGTTCACAGGTTCTTACACCGAAGTTAACCCCGTTTTTGCTGCTGTCGGGGATCATCGAGTTGGTAATTTCGCAAAGTAAAATGGCAGAAAATGGGGAGGAAACTCTGCAAAATAATAAACACTTAAGTACTTATCTTAAAATGCTCCACGAAAGGTTCCCAGATAAAACATACCAAAAATGGCGGACAAAGCTACAGCTTTCTAGGAAATCACATGACCAGTAAAACAATGAAATATTTACATAAGCTTTCTCACCAAGCCCTTCGCCGCCACCAGTCTCAAATCCCCCCAGTCCGGAGAAGGCGGGTGTGTCCTCAAAAATTTCTATGATTTGCTCACTTGACTGGGAAGGGGGCTTGGGTGGAGGTCCACCGCCAGTCTTCTTGTACTCTTTCTTGTAATTACTAAATTCTTTTTTGGCTGTTGAGTGGAGGTTCTTCCACTTGTCTTTTATTTCTTGGACGGAGCGATTCGCTCGGCCAACAGCATTTACCTCCTTGGTAATCTCCTCCCAGACTTGACTTTTTTTTTTGTTGCTTATATTATTTGTCAGCTTTGACTGGATCACATCAATATTTTTTTTACACTTTCTGTAATTACGGAAATCTCAAGCGGTGAGAAATTTGGTTTTCTTTTTCCTTCCTTTACTTCAAGTTCTTTCACCTCACTTTCCGCCATGTTGTTTTCTTCACCGGCCCCGCAATCCGCGCCAATTTTTCGCGCCATATTTTTTTAGAGGCAGGCGGTCGAAAAACTCGTTAAACCGGTTTTCATTTAGCACTAATCTGGGATTAGTTAATCGTGGGATAATTTCGCTTTCAGGAACTCCTTTTCAACCCACGATTAGTTATCCGAGGAATAAGAAATTTAATCGTGGATTTAACGCTAATCGGAGGATAGATTAATCTGCTTTCCAGGAACTGGGGCCTGCAGTGGTATAACAACCAGGGGTTCTTACATCCAGGCCGTTCACAACCAGGGGTCTTACACTCAGGGGTATTACAACGGGGGTTCGACGACCAGGGGTCTTACATCCAGTGGTCTTACATCCAGGCCTTTTACAACCCGGGGTCTTGCGACGTGGAGTCTTACATTAGGGGGTCTTACGACCAGGAAGCTTACATCCAGGGGTCTTAGGACCACAGGTCTTACGTCCAGCGGTCTTACAACCAGGGGTCCTACATCTATGCGTTTTACGAACAGGGGTCTTACCACACGGGATTCTACATTTAGGGGTCTTTCAACCAGGTCTTATGACAAGGGATGTTACATCCAGGGGTGTTACCACCGGGGGTGTTACGTCCAGGGGTATTACTACCAGGAGTCTTACGTTCAGGGGTCTTACGTTAACGGGTCGTACGAAAAGGGGTCCTACATCCACCGGTCTAGCCGGCGTAGCCAGCGTTTCGAAACGCTTGCTACGCAGGCTATCACGGGTCTTAAATTCCAAGGTCTTAAATTAAGCGGTCTTACGACCTGTGGTCCTACGTGCAGGGTTCCTACTTCCAAGGGTCGTGCGACAAGAGGTCTTACGATCAGTGTTCTTACATCCAGGTGTCTGAAGACCAGGAGTTTTACATCGAAGGAACGTAGATCGAGAGATCTTACGTCCAGGGATCTTACGACCAGTGTTCTTACATCCAGGGGTCTTACGACCAGGAGCCTACATCCATGTGTCTTACGACGAGGAATCTTACATCTAGAGGTCTTAAATCCAAAGGTTTCAGAACAAGTGGTCTACGCCGCAAAATGTAATAATCGCTGCAAATTGTAATACTAACGCAAAATTAAATGTAAGAAGAATCGCCGCAAAATGTAATAATATTGACGCAAATGTAATAAAATTTTCAACGCAAAATGTAATAACCTTTTCTTTGCAAAATAAAATACCTTTCCAACGCATAATGTAATAACGTAAAATGAATAATTTCCGAATGACATGCATGGTATATCGAAGTCTTTAACCGCCGCCCGGTTAGTTCAGTTGGGAGAGCGCCGGTCTGCTGAGCGGGAGGCCGTAGGTTCAAACCCCGGCCGGACCAACACTCAGGGTCTTTAAATAAGCGCCGTGCTTAAATCGAATTTCAATCGACACGACGTTTCAAACAATCCTAATACAGGGGCACCCAACGAGAATATAGTTCAAAACCACATAAAAATAGCATTGTTAAACGTATTTTAGTATTTAAACGGTAGATATAGGCATATTTTTATCCCCTAAAAATTTTTCATCTGTTCGGATTTCTTAGCTGAAAGTCTAGTGATCCGAAAATTAAAGGAATCAAAACTTACCTTTTCGAAAAATTTCAGCCAGAAAAAAGGCTTCCGAAAATTCTAGGTGACCTTTTTGGGGTAAAAATCCGTTAAAAATAGGCAAATATACCATTTTTTGGATGTTCGAAAATCCTAGAAGAGGCAGGCAAGCAAGAAATTTTACACCAAATGTTTCGAAAATTCTAGATCAAAAAGCATGTTATAAAAGATATCTGATCTGCCACGTTTTTTTTTTACCAGAACCAGATAACTCTGGCTGAAGATTGCTTTTCTAGTTTAACACTTATATAATCGAGTCTCTGAATTTGTTCTTAATGGCTGCATTTTTTTGAGGCAAAGTTTCTTTTATTTTTAAGTTCCCAAGCTTTATAGAGTCAAATCAGTTTGCCTGGCAAGTCCGAGTTGTCTTTTGCCTAAAACAGACAGCGCCAAAAAAATTTAAGTTCGCCCAGCAACGCATTTTTTAGGAGTAGAGCTGAGCTCGATGGGACAAATATTTTGAGTTTGCCCGGGAACGCACAAATTATATTGTTTAGTACGTCTTATTGGTTTTGAGAAGTCAGAGAACTGTGACTCACACCAGTAGTAGGAGTAATACTCTTTTTTTTTTTACACTTTCCTCACTTTATTCTTTATTGATTAAAAATATTTTTTACAATAAAGTCAAGTGCTTTTGACGGTGAGTAATTCATTCACCCTGTCTAGTGAGAACTGAATCACCCATTTCATCTCTTGACGCATTACCCCAGTTGTCAACTTAAATCTGCCTTTTGTAGCTTTAGACACCTAACAGAAAATGTCAATTGAATAGAAGCACTTACATATGCTCAGGACTGTACTGGGACCTGTATTACATTTAAATCTCCTTATTTCAACTGTTATTTATTTCTAATATTTCTAAAAATATTAATATCAATAATAATAATAATAAATAATAATCATTATGATAATATTATAATAATAATTTAAATGAAGATCTGGATCTGCTTCTGATTTATGAGCCACAACACTGACTTCGAAATATCATGCATGTCATTCGGAAAATATTACATTTTGTGTTAGTGTTACAATTTGCGGCGATTATTACATTTTGACAGGTCTTTCATGCAGGAGTCTTACATCCACTTTTAAGAATGATGCGAGCAGATCAGAATATATTAGACCTTATTAAAAACGAAAAGCATCGCCAGGCAGTAGCAAAGTTACGATCAAGTAATCACGAGTTAAGAATTGAAACTGATAGATACCATCTTCCTAAAATTCCTGAGAACCTTAGGATATGTCAGCTTTGCTCGTCATTCATTCATTTTCTATTTGAATACAATTTACATAACAATTAAAGACAGCCGTTTTTTCAAGACGTAGAAGCCAAGTACTGCAAATTCGTAGACTTGAACAAATCGGAAAAAGTTATATTTCTTTTTAACAAAATTGATCGATATCTTTGTAAAAACCTCGGCTACTATGTCTATGAAGCATTTCAACTTAGAGAATTTTATTCCATAAAATAAAAGCATGGGAAAAAGAGATTTTTATTTATAACTTTTAAATACTACCTGTATATTTGATTATTTTAAATATTATCAAAACTAAAATTGTAATAGTTTAAAAGCAATACCATTTCTGTATACGGGAATGCTATTAAAATGTTACATCTAGAGGTCTTACGACCAGGGGTCTTACATTAATGGGTGTTATGACCAGGGGTTTTTTCCTCCAGGGGTATTACGATAAGGGATCTTACATCTAGAGGTCTTACGACCAGGGCTCTTACATCCAGGGCTCTTACGACTAGGGGTCTTACATCCAGGAGTCCTACGCCCAGAGGTCTTACGACCAAAGGTCTTACGTCCAGAAATCTTACGACCAGGGGTCTTACATCCAGAGGTCACAAATCCAAAGCTATTACAGCAAGGGGTCTTATACGATCAGGAGTCTTACATCAAGTGCTCTTACGTCCAAGGGTCGAACGACAAGGGGTCCTACATTAAGGGGTCTTAAGACCAGGGGTCCTTCAAGCGGGAGCCTCACATCCAGGGAACGCAGATTTAGGGATCTTAAGTCCAGGGGTCTTACGATCAGGGTTCTTAACCCAGGGGTTTTAAATCCAAACGTCTTACAACAAGGGGTCTTATGTCCAGGGATCCTACGTTCAGGATTCTTCCATTCAGGGGGTCTTACAACCAGGGGTCTTACATCAGGTAGTGAACCAGCTGGCTAGATGAGATTGCTGGTAGATATTCGCTTCTGTTATGGACTTCCGCTGTCACTTTTTAAGGATGCCTTTAAAAATCATTGATAGCGTCACATCCATAAAGCGATATTGTGTTACCTCTTAGAACTTCAGTACAGTGCAAACAGGCGAGACAAGCTAGCATATTTCAGAGGTGTTTTTGGAATTTCTGACTAGCATCCCAGGCCTTAATTATACGTTACTCTTGCCTGGTTTATATCAGGCGTTTCTCTCCTGTACTAACCAATAGTCCTCCCCTTCCCACCCCCTCCATTGGAGATTGAATAACGTAATGATGGCGCAATTTTCAAATCAAAGAGCGCTTACCATTTGTACGGAAACTTTGGTGAAAAATTTCCGTCAAATGGTACTGGTATTCTTTTTTGGCACCGAAAACAGGAACGGGATTGAGTTGTACCATTTACAAAATACCGGTAAATTTTTCGCTTTTTCTCTTCATGACGCCTGGCACTAGTAATCCAAACAAATGGTACAGAAAATTTTGGTGGTTTCTTCGGTAAAAATAGTGTGCTACACAGCCGTTTTTAGTGTCGTCACGCAAAAAACGGCTGTGTAGCAGACTACGGTAAATACCGGAAAACTGAAAACTTCCCCCGGGATGAACCGTTCCATTTTTTTTTTTTTTTTTTTGTATTTTTATGAATTTTTATTTTGTTATGTATTACACGTAGGAAAAATACAAAAAAAAAGGAAAGGAAAACTAAACATTTATACATCGCAGACTAACACACAATTACATACTTACAAAAAAGAAACAAACAAAACAAACCCCAGTACCTTCTTTTCTATTTACATGAAGAAAAAAAAAAGTAGAATAAAATAAATAAAAAATAAAGATTAATAATAAATGAAGTAAGCGGAGAAGAGATGGTATGCTAATCAGATTTATATTTGCTCCATTTCATATTGTGGGTCTCCAACTTATTGTTTGACTTAGCGACCCTTGTCTCTATTAAGAAGACAGTATTAATTTTGGAATTAACTCTAATGGAGGGAGGATATTTGTTCTGTCTACAAGAGTATAGATATTGTTTTGCCAGTAATAAAATTTGATTCACAAATATCTCTTCCTCACATCCAATAATACCAAACAGTATATCTTTGTCTGAAAGATTTTCAATCTTGACCTTATGATCAACAAGCCATTTTATAACCTCAGACCAGAAATTCTTAGAATAATGACAAGACAGGAAAAGATGTTCGAGGGATTCGTCCGATTCACCACACAAGGAGCACGCTGGAGATGGTGTAATACCAACTCTGCATAAGAAGGTATTTGTCACAAGGCACAACTATGATTAGAGCCATGAGCAAAAAAGAGCTTACTTCTCCATTGTGTTCTCCAAATGTCTTCAACGTCAACAGTGCTATAGGTCTCTTGAAGGAAGATAATATCATACCTCCGTTCACTTAGCCAGGTAAAAAGGGCTTTCCTTTTCGTGGCGGATCGAATCCCTCGCACATTAAGCGAAAGTAATTTAAAATCAAAAAGTTCTTTCTCGAATGGGATCAGGAAAAAAATAAATTATGCGCATACAAATAATTTCCGCAGTGGTACACAAAAAATTGAAAAGAGGTAACAGCTGAGGTGCAAAAACACACAACACGTAGGTAGACAATACACAGAAACGCACAAATACTCACAAAACAAAAAACAACAAAGGAAAAGACAAAAGGACAAATAAAACAAACAAAAACAAACAAACAAAGAATACATTACACAACGAAGTTTTAAGAAAGAGAGAAAAAAGGCGGCGAGGTAATTATTACCTATAAGACGCTGCCACAGAGCTTGGGACAATCGTTTCAACTACACCCAATTGTTCTAACCTACACATGCCACTCCCGTTACAAAAACAGACTGATGAAAAGCATAAACAAAGTCAGATAAAATAAACTGAGTCCAAAAAACCTAGATTTGTCTATAAGGGAACAAATCGTCCATCGATAAACAATTTATCGGGTTCTGGTTTGCTAAAGAAAGCAGTCTTTCCCTCCTCTCTTGCTTTTTTAAGACGTGGCCACTGCTTTTTTCTTCTTTCGCTTATTTCTTTAGGAAAATCCGCGTAGACCAATTGTGTCGCGATTTTTTCTGTCATGTTCAGGGCCTCCAGAACTTGATCGTCCTCGCTAAACACTACGCTAATGTTCGGTTCCGAACGAGGACTGTTGCAAGCCTTTTTTCCTTCTGGAGAGCAAATATCGCTATCGGAGCTGATACTAAGACTTGCCTTCGTGTTCCGTTTACAACTTTGAGCCATAGACTAGGTTTAAGGACTAAAATTTTTAAGAAAGGACAAAAAGCCCACTGGAGTGAAACATCCACGTCTTCACTCGCACATGGTCGCCCCAGTCTCAGAACCGTTCCATTTGAATTCTCCCAGGTCTGCTTAATGACCTACAGCGTTGTTTCAAACACTGTTCTGTAAATATGTACGCTGACGACACAATTTTATATCTTGCTGGTCCACCTGTACACAATTTAATTTTTTCCATTAACCAAGATCTTCAGTGTTTATCTGAATGGCTAGAAGACAATAATCTTGTTCTCAATGTTTCAAAAACTAAGTGTATACTATTTACATCTCAAAGGCATAAGAGGTCTTATCAGTGTTACTGTTTATCCTTCCACTTGACAATTCGTTACTATTTCATTTTTCCTCCAAAATGTAAGGGGAGGGGGGTTCGATCGAACCGCCTAAATTAAAACAGCTAACATCAAAAACTTGTAAAATTTAAGCCTGCGTAGCAGACGCTAAAGCAGGGGGGAGGGTAAGAAGGTGGACAAAAAGGGAGAGGGGATTAACCCTAACCCTAACTCTTACCCTCCTCCGCCCGCCTTTTTTAACGCCTGCTACGCAGCCTATTAAAACTGTAATAATACAGTCAAATGCAATAAATTCATAACCAAGTTATGCCTCTGCTGCTCAATAAAGCTAAAACGTTTTCTCCATAGGAAACAAATAAATTTTTGGTTCACTGTAAATGTGACTCTTTTTATTACCTCTTTTCTCGAGCTTCTGCAAAGCATCATGCCAAAAGTTTTATGTCTTGTGGCACGAAATCTTTGCGGGTTCTAATTTTTGCGATTTTTGCGATTTTTCCAGCGATCGGCAAAAATGAGTTCCCGCAAATAAAAATTACCGCAAACATTTTTTCCCGCAAAAATTCAATCCAGAGTAAATTTTCTCTAACTAAAATTCGCTTCACAAAAATATATTCCTAAGAAATTGTGTCTGTTAAATTACGTAGGGTACGAATACCGTAGCATTGTTAAAAAATATTATGTCTATTGCTCGTACTGAACAAAAACGAAAATATCATCAATGCTGGGACTGGGTACTTTCTGAAAATCGCAAAAATTAATTCGTAACAAGAAAAACCAGTCTGTTCTAATCGCAAAAATCCGTTCCCGCAAAACACAAAAAATCGCCAATCCGCAAAAATAAACTCCCGCAAAAATTTCGTCCCACACGGTAGGTGTAAAATTGGCATCTATAAAATACAAAAAGATTTCACTTTAAAAAATTATATTTTAAAACACGTTGACTTTGCCTCAGAATGGCGGAAATGTTGTTCTTGTGCCAAATAGTATTTTTAAGGCATAATTTCCATAAGAAGAAGAAGGAGTGTAAAGGTTTGTATCAATACAAGGTCAACCTGAGGCACCACCGCGGTCAAACGTCTAAATTGTTATTTTTGTTTTTTATTGCTGGGATTTCATTTACCAGTTAGAGAAAAATGGGCAAAGATGTATAAATCAGTTAGTCAACATAACTATCTTTCCATTTTTCTCAAAATTTTGAGCTTTTTTCACTGAAAACGCTTCGCGCCAAAAGGGAATCATGTTCAAAAATGGCGCCGATAATAACGTCAGCATCGGTTTTCAATCACTTAGAACTTTTTTAGTAAACTTTTAAAAAGTTTAGTAAACTAACAGGATGTTGGTAATACCCTAAACTTGCGACAGTGAAAGTAGCAACCTTAGGGAAAGTTCATTTAATATGACAAGGGGGGGGGATGAAGATATTGAAACTCGAAGCTTGAAATTTTAGCAGCCCCCCTCGCTAGCGGTTCAATTTTTTAGGAGCCCCCTCCTTGGTAGTCGAAAAAATTTCAGAGCCCCCCCCCCCNTATAGCTGAGTTGCACAGGTCATTAAATTGTTGAGTTGAAAACCATCCAATCTGTATGATGTTGTCATGTGTTGGTTTTGAAGTATACAAATTTTCGGAGCCCCCCCTCCTAGTGCAACAATTTTGTCAGAGCCCCCCCTTCGGGTGTCTGAAAATTTTCGGAGCCCCCCCTCAATATCTTCATCTCCCCCCCTTGTCATATTAAATGAACTTTCCCTAAAAAAAGATATAATTTTCTAAAATATTGTTTTACATTTATTTCCATTAAGTTGTCTTTCTTGGAAGTAAACAAATTTCCGGCGCCCCCCCCTCCTAGCGCAACAATTTTTTCAGAGCCCCCCCTTCGGGTGTCTAAAAATTTTCGGAGCCCCCCCTCAATATCTTCATCCCCCCCCTTGTCATATTAAATGAACTTTCCCTTAACTTTGAAGTATTTCGCTTAACTTTTGTAAATTTCACTCGTTTGACCGCTGTGAAAACCTGAGGCTCACGTTCTCTCAGAGGCTAGGATACTAAGCCCACAACTGAACTTGCGTTTTTAAAAACGGCCAGCGGTTAATACCATGGATTGCATGACTTCCGTGGAATTTTCATGATTCTTAACCGGTACTTTGGTGCGAATCGGTTCATTTCCTCGTTGAATTCGATCGTCTTTCGCAGACTGTCAAAAAATTCATCCCCTTCTCTCTCCACAATGGATCCTAACTTATCAGCAAAGGACCTTCGACAAATGTTCGTGGATTTCTTTGTGGAAAAGTACGAGCACACCTTTGTTCCCTCTTCGTCCACGATTCCACATGAAGACCCAACCTTGCTGTTTGCGAATGCAGGCATGAATCAGGTACTTTAAAATTAAAAAACATTTTCTGTTAGTTGACCTGAATGAAAAAGTAAATTCCTTGCTTCAGTTTGTAAAAGGGATCGCTAAAGGAACGTTTCAACTTTAATTTTACCACCAAGCTAAGCTTGTATCGCAGCGGTAAGCATATCTGTTTGTAAGCTGAATTAAAATGACGAATTAATGAGCTTGCTTAAAAAGCACGTGAAGTAATTATAAGCTTTTATTTTCATGATCTCTTTACAGGCCGAATTTTCTGCTTTCGTTTTAGAAAATCGATTGATGTACAGTACTGCCAGTTAAAGCTTTCCCGGTTTCACAAATAATTAACATAAATCGATTATTGGTTAACCCTTGTTATTATTCATTCAAAATATTTCCCCAACTCTGATTGGCTAAAAGCACACGCATTAATGAATTCGGCTTTCGTAGGATAGGAAGAATTAAGCAGATCTTGGAGGGTGTTATCCACCACGGCCTTCGGCCTCAGTAGATAACACCCTCCTTGATCTGCTTAATTCTTCATGTCCTACTCTAGCCTGTGATCATACCCTCTCCCTTTGTCTCTATAATCTGTTTTCGGGAGTAGGGCATGATACATTTCTTTTACAGATCACATGCAAAAAAGCCAGAATCTGGACTTTTTTCTGATTGGATAGGAAACAATAAGGATGATTTGCACTGTTCCGACTGGCCAAAACACCGCCATCTGTTAGGTGTTGTTGATTTCAGTCTGCATTTTTGCTTGCCAGTTGAGCAGAGAATACATACACGAGTTCGTTATGAAATTTCTGCCGGCTCAGTTTTCTTGAATTTGAAAAAAGTCTAAATAGAAATTTCATCCACTGAAATATTTCCCATTTCATCGTAAACAAAAACTTGCAGTCAAAAATTGACCGATCATTTGAATGCAATTTGATACCGACTACAAGTCACAGAAGCGACAAACAGGTTCACTTTTCAAATAATTAATTTATGAATGGTATCTTGACCTGCTTTGACTGTAATTCCTCCTTCAGAAACCCACGAATTATTCTGAGCGATCTTCGCTTTTACAACACTTTTCAGCTCGTGAAATATGGTGCTTCAGCCTAATTTTGTTTTTTTCTGCTTTCGGCAAAGAACGAGGTCAACGAGCTTTTACCAGTAAATTCTCTATTATTTGTAGCTGTTAAATAAAAGTACAGCAGCTCCAGCTAGCAGTATTTCATCACAAAAAAAAGCATTTAAACTTTTTTTTAGGAAGTGCCATCTGAATGTACTTAAAAATTTTCTTTTCTTCAAAATTGATTTCGAAACAGACATTATTCCTGCCAAAATTTGATTCCCGTCTGGTAAACGCTGATTGGCTAATAACATGACAGGTCAAGCAGATGTTAGATTATGTAAATTAGGGGGTGGTTGATGGCTTGTTAAATTTGATGGCTTGTTAAATTTTCCCTCTCGATCCAAAGAAGCAAAGAAGCAAAAGAAATATATAATAACGCCTGATCTCAGGTTAATCCTACTGAGCCTCATTCATTAATTGCTAATTATTGGATGTGCATAATGCATCAGTCAATTCCAGCTGCGCCCAGGCCCCCTGGGCTACTTTGGGGTATTTACTTGCCTTGTCAGTCCCGGCAGTGGGGCATTACACACTGTAGCAAATTTTGCGTTGCCCAGGGGTCGAGCATTACCAACCCCTCGGCCACCTCAGAGCTTTTGACATGCATGTGGTTTCCTATCCGAATACAGGGCTGTCAACCCCCCACATCATCAAATATTGAGAATTGATAGGGAAGTGATGATAGATGACATCATAATGCACGAAACATGATGTCATTTGAAACACGCGAAAAAGATGTTGTTGGAATTGTAACATTTGACCTGATTGGTTTACTTCCCACCAATCACATTATTGCTTTTATTACAATGGCATACCGGAGTTTCTGAGGAAAAGATTAATGTTAAAAGTTTATAAATACTGTGAAACCTGTATTAAGCGGACACCATATTAAGCGGACACCCTCTATTTAGCGGACAGTAGCCGAAGTCCCCCAATTTTTTTCCCTTATGTACTTTAAATTAAACCTCTATTAAGTAGACACCTCTATTAAGCGGACGCGCACACCTAAAAAGGACCTGAAATGGTCATTTCTATTGTTGCCAACCCGCATTAAACGTACACTTGTAATTAACTTCCACCACCCAACACGCCAGACACCAGAAATGCGAAAGATTGCCCCGAATTGCCACCCACAAATTTTACGATTTTTACATTAAAAAACGTGACTTGACGAACTTATTTGATTTGTTTCACAGTACAGGATTGTTTTCTATTTCGTTTTGTTTGTATAGCGCTTGTTTCACTCATCTGATTTCTTCAAATTTGAGTTGCAATCCATGTTTATGGTACTATGATCAATTGGTTCACTTTGATAAAGAAATTAATGCAAACATCTATCGTCATAGTCTCTGGGAGTATTATAAACGTTTCCACTGTTCATTTGAATGGAATTTGACACCTCATATGACGTTATATATCAAAACCTGTGTTAGGCGGACACTACAGCATTCCCCGAGGGTGTCTGCTTAATACAGGTTTCACTGTAGCTCAAATAACGAAAAATATTTGAAATTTCATTGTCAGAAAGTGGAATCTACAAGAAATTGCAAACTTCAGCAATTATCTGGGAGATTTCAGACTCCAAACTGGATACTGGAAGAAACGGTTCAAAATCGGGAGTCTCCCGGATTATCCGGGAGAGTTGACAGCACTGCGAATATAACTACACAGCGGATTTTACTGGAAAAACAAGCAGATTGGCTCATCTGTCAAGGACGGGAAAAAATTGTAGAGTTTTGTAAAGGCATGTCCTCAATTTTATGCATGCATTTCTTCATTGCTTATCAAGCCAGAATTACACTGTGAAATTGGGCGCTATCGACGTAAATCAATGTTTTATTTGTTATTGAATCAAGTTTCTGTTGATATTATTTGAAGAACATCCTTTCATATTTATAACACTATTCAGAACAGATAACTTTACAGCACACTATTAATTTTATTCTCAGTAATTTTATAACAATACTTAAAAAATAAACTCCTGTCTTGCAGTGTGAAGTCTTCATTAGAATGGCACTATTACAAGGCAGACAGTTATTGAAACAAAATATCACACATTAAAACGCTTAAAATGGCACTACTCGACTGTGCGATCAATGAAAAATGTTGCTGTGCTGATGGAGGACAGGGCATTTGCCCTCTTTTTTCATCCCCACCCTGGGGGATTTGACAGCTCAAGATTCCCCGCCCCCAGGAACTTGCTGTCCAAGGCAAAAAAAGTGCTAATGCCCAGGGGTCAGCTTGGGTTGGGGACTCGCGTTGGGGGAGGGGGGGAGTTGGGCTCAGCTGGAATTGACTGATGCTAAAGGCTGGTTTTCACTAGTGATGGAGTCAGAGTCGGAGTCATAAGCGGAATCGTAAGAGTGCTTATGACCTAGTGAAAATCAAAAATCGAAGTCGTAAGCAGAGTCATAAGCATGATAGAATAATTATTGCAGTCAGAAGAATCAGAACGTTTCCATTTCTTCCAACTCCGCTTACAACTCTGTCGCTTACTTTCCGCTTATGATCTAGTGAAAACCAGATTGTCAGAGTCGGAAGCAGAAGTGGAAGGATAAACCAATCATGTGATTGGTTTAGTTCTTCTGCTTCTGCCTCCGACTCCGACAATCTGGTTTTCACTAGATCATAAGCAGAACGTAAGCGATAGAGTCGTAAGCGGAATCAAAATGCTGTTTTCACTAGATCATAAACTCTATGCTTCTGATTACAACTCTGACTCTGACTCTGTCACTAGTGAAAACCAGCCTTAAAGATTCAACTTCTGTCCATGTTGTAAGGTGGCCAATGATAGTGATATGACCATAGGGTTAGAGTGGACTGTATCTATTTCAACTTCCTAGGGTATTATGCACAGTCAAGTTCATCATAAAAGAGGAAAGGGTCAGTTTGAAAGGTCAAACATTTAATGGATTGCCTTTGATAGTTTATTTACAAGCTTTTCTGGACACAGGCCTGCCCAGAGGGAATGTGCATGAACAGGACTCAGGTCCCATGCGAGGTGCCATCCCTACCCAATCCCACAAGCCGTAAAGGTTGGCCACACCACCGGGGTCTATGACCCCTACTCTTTTCGAGTAGTGATGTGGGTTCTTTTACATCCCACAAGAACAAATCAGTGAAAGTGCTGTGAGACGGGACCTACGGTTTTTTGTCCTTATCCAAGAAGACTAGAAAATCTAACCATTTGCAGATGTCATTGCTAAGGCAGCACTTTCTTCTCAGTTATTTAAAGACCCTGAGTATTGGTCCGGCTGGGGTTTGAACCCGCCGCCTCCCACTCAGCAGACCGGCGCTCTCCCAAACTAACCAGGTGGCAGTTAGACTTAAATAGGAGCAGTAACCAGTAACAGCCCCTTAACACTTGTCTCAGGTTACTGAAAATGTTCTAACTATGGTTCAACCTGTTGATAATATATTGTTTCATTATATATTCTATTTCATACCAGTACAAGTCAATTTTTCTTGGAACAGTGGACCCAAATAGTGACTTCTCCAAACTCAAGCGTGCTGCAAACAGCCAAAAATGCATCCGTGCAGGTGGAAAGCACAATGATTTAGATGACGTGGGAAAGGATGTTTACCATCATACCTTTTTTGAAATGTTGGGAAATTGGTCATTTGGAGATTACTTCAAGGTGAGAAGTTAGCTTTTCCCTGGTGTCAAAGATTAGACACCATATATATAAGTGACAACTCATAACCTCTCTCTTCTGATCATGCATCCACCGCAAGGGGGGTACTCCAGATTTCAAGTGACGGGGGTGATCGAATAGGTGCAAAAATCATAACCTGAAGAAATCCCTGGACCAAATATAAACCCCCAAAAAATCCCATGCTAAATTCCGAACAGCCACAGGAGAAGTTTGGTTGTACTTTATTCGCAGAACTACGAGGCCAGGATAGCTGGGCAGTATCATGAATGTTCAGATTGTTTTAAATACCCAAAAAAATCCCTACTTAGATCAACCCACCCCAAAAAATTACTTGCCAAATTTTCCTACCCAAAAAAATCCTTTGATCATCCGTCACTTGAAATCCAGAGTACCTCCCTTGGGTATCCACCCCATCAGGAAAAATAGTGAAAGCAGCTCCCCCCCTTAAATAATCTTGAAACCCCTCCTCTTCCCCTCACTTTTTTTGGCAGATAAAAGAAATCTCAAAATAAACTTCTGACTTGTCTAATTTTTATATATATTTTTGACTCTTGGCTTCACCATAGGCATCAGTAAAGGAAATGAATATATAAATTGACTTTGTTGGAGTAACATAATAAAAAATAATAATGTATGTAGATTAGTAGTAGTTAGCATTATTATGACAGACATGGACAAAGATTCTTAGAATCCTGACCAGCAAGAAGCAAAGCAGTTGTCTATGTACAAGCATAGCTCTGGAGTTCAGTTTTAAGGGTGACCACAAACAACCCGTGGTACACTGTAGCTCGTGGCCAAAGTGGAATTTGAAGCCACAGCACCAATTCAGCCATTCTTCGATCAGTATCAAGGAACAGCTGTCTTACATGTATCTGTTTATTCTGACCTCCCATTGTATCTATCCTGATGACTGCTTGTGTTTTTTTCCATATAGCCAATGCATAAGTTATTTAACCTTTTATGAATTTAGAAAGAAGCCATTGAATGGGCTTGGGAGTTGTTAACTGTGAAGTACGGCATGCCAAAAGATCGTCTTTATGTTACATACTTTGGAGGAGCAGAGGGCCTTGAATCTGACGAAGAGACGCGACAATTTTGGCTCAATATGGGGTATGTAGTATACATGTTGCTCTTATCACCAGCAATAATAATATTCTAAAACACTTCTCTCCAACCCTGGCAACAAAAATACTTTTCATAGGTGGATCTGCAGGGTGCAAACAAAGTTGTGTCCGATAGCCCTGGGCTAGTGGATTTTGCTATCGGGCTGGTGAATTCTGTTTTTAACTTGTCCGACAGGCAATTGATCTTTTTTGAGGAATTGGAGTAACAGAAGAACTGTGAGATCAATTCTGCTCTTCAAAAAGCTTTTGGGGCTAGTTGAAATGACGTCTGGGCTAGTAAATGTTAGCTTCAGCTTGCCCGAATGGCAAGCTGTAAAAATGATTTTCTTTGCACCCTGATCTGGAATTTATCTGTAGCGGCAAACACAAGACTAAATTTTTATGTTTACTAGTTCCACTTGTAACAGCTTCTTATTAAATAAATGTACAAATAGTTAACTAGTACATCTGTGAAGTAAAGAACTTTATGAACGTCTTTCTCTTTATTATCTTAACAGCAAATTTTAAAAGAGCCTTTCATTGCATGTTAAATAAATGCTTTTCAAATTTATTTGTCAAACTATTAAAATACTTTTGTCCTCTTGTTAAAGTCTTCCCCCAGAAAGAGTGTTGCCATTTGGAATGAAAGACAATTTTTGGGAAATGGGTGAAACTGGCCCATGTGGACCTTGTAGCGAGATTCACTTTGACAGGATTGGTGGACGAGATGCTGCCTCACTTGTAAACATGGACGACCCTACTGTTCTTGAAGTGTGGAATCTTGTGTTTATTCAGTTCAACAGGTATCAATCACTTAATCAATCATTATTCCATTTTCTGTTTTCTGTCATCAGTGATTTTTGTATTGAGAAGCTGAAATCTAGATATTTGCGACTTAAGATTTCATTATAAAAGTATTTTTCCGGTGGGAGACTGAAAAGGAAATAGAACTGTACACATACGAGTAAAACAAAAAAAGAATAGTTGTAAAAAGAGTTTAATTGTCATGGTCTCACCATAGAATTTCATTTACACATGACATGAAGTTAAAGTTAGCGTGAAGTCAACAAGAAGTCAGAAGGAGGTAGAAACAAATTATTTGCGTAGCCAATCATATCTCTACATTTGCTTTATCCTCTCTACACATGAGTTATAGATGTAAAGCTCCTGCAAACAGAGTCAACATTGTTAGATGTGTCTGTTTGCGTTCCCTGTTGCATGTTGTTGCATGTTGTGGGGAGTTGTTGCGCACAGTTTGAAACTGGTCAAACTTTTGAGCCAACTACTTGCAATATTTCTTCTGCTCCATGATTGTAGAAGAATGGTGCAACAATGTTGAATTGGTGTGCACAGCTCTTCCAACTTTGTTGGCAATTTTTGGGTTAACTAACCCTTCGGGGTTGGTGGGCATAAATTTTACTAACCAAATTATAAAGTTCATTATCCAAGAATCTGTGATTAAATAGTGCTAATAAATGTGGCAAATGTGTAGATGGAATGGTTAAAATTACATAAATTCTTTGAGAAACCCAATCTTATGCAGGAAAGAAACACATGTAAGAAGTTCTTACATGTGTTTCTTTTCGTCTACTAAAAATTTCTGTCTTAGAAATTTTTACTAACCGTTTCAGGTTACTAAGGTTCATTTTTAGTAACTAAACGTTGCAAAATACTAACCATTGGTTAATGGGTTACCATTAATTTCCAGCCCTGGGTTTACAAAGTCTTATTGGTGTATCCGTCCTACAATGCACTACAAGTCCCAACATTGTTGGGCCAACAAATGTTGGGAGTTGTTGCATCCGTTTTCACTTAGCTTAATGCATTTTAAAAATTAGGGAAACAGATGGCAGTCTAAAATCTTTGCCCAGCAAGCACGTGGACACTGGGATGGGGCTTGAGCGGCTAACATCAATTACTCAAGGAAAGATGTCAAACTATGACACAGATCTCTTTCAACCATTCTTTGAAGCAATTCACAAGGTAAGTGTACTCCTCGTGTGTGTTTGTATGGTTCACTGTTGTTGGGTAAATTTTCCAGGGAAATCTTCCTTGATAAGTGGTAGAAACCCTTTTTCCTGATTCAACAGCAGAATATAAAACTGGCATGAGTTTCCTGTAGTTTTACTTAATTTTGCACTGCATGAATTGGAATACTGTAATTTCAAAACCTCTTCTGAGCTTGTTTGCACTATAAATTCTGTTTTGCCATTAGAGAGTCAACAACCAGAGTTTTTTTTCTAGTGTGCAGCATCATCATATGGGAAACTTTACCTCCAAATCCTGCCTTTCTGTTGCAAAGCTGTTTTTACACTAACAGTGGCGTGACCACCTGATGAAAAGCATTAAATTTATAAAGTTAAAATTATATTGTATGCATTTGAACATAATTTTTTATTATAATTAAAAATATATTGATATATTCATTTCAACATAATTATTTTGATTTTTTATATTCATACCCTTTTACATATATTTTTAAGTATTCAATATTGTTCTCAAAACGAGTGTTTCAATAAACATTTTAAAAGAAAAATTAACAATAAAAATGTTACTCAATACTTCAATGACTCTATGTTAATGTTGTCAAAATGTGAAGAAAATAACTGTAGGTAGTATTTACATATGAGCAATCTATGAATTTGTTGAAACGTGATATAATGTTTCTATTTTTCATTTGTCAATTTGTCATTAATTTTGCTGAATTGTCTTCATGGACTGAGTTTTCACTGGTTTGCTCTTGTAGTTGTTATCATCTTTAACTTCTTTTAGGCGACAGGTGTAAGGCCCTATCAGGG